AGCTCTGCATGGAGTCATCATTCTCATTTTTCCAAGAGGACATACAAGAGAAACACGCAAAGAAGTCGTTGCTATTTCACTATCTGCGTCTTCATTTAATTTGTCTTTAACTGAAATTTTTTTTTTCAGAAAACGAAGAACGTTTTTAAAAATATTTTCAAAAAAAAAACTGCAAGTTTAAAAGAAAAAAAGAAGAAAAATAATTACTCATTCCTCTTGTGTAATCTGCACCACGAACTCCTTTTGCTTTTAATCTATTTAATAAATCTTCCGAAGTCTTTTTATGCACCAAATAAACTGCTACCACGTATCCTCTAGTATAATCCGTTGACCATTGTACATAAATTGAATTTCCGACGGTTGGACTAATTTTCACTAAAGGTGTGATATTTACTGGTCTAGGCGGTCGTTTGGGCTCCACCCCAGGTTTATTTGTTGGAATAGGATTCTTTTCAAATCAATGAAAATTATTAATATAAATATAAAAATGGAAACCGAAATACTTTGTATAATATTTTCATTACCGGTAACTGGCATAATTTATTGTTAACTTTGACAATTACTCCGGGAGGAAAACAATCTTCTTGTTCGCTTGTCGTTTCTAAAAGGCAAAATCTAAGTTGTACCTGTACCGTGTATTCAACTTTACTTCCAGGTCTCATATCTCTTGACATTCCAATCGCTGCTGCTTGTTGAGGAGTTAAATGAAAAACAAAGGTATTGTCTTGTTGTCTTTGAGATCCTAAAGGAACTAAACTGGATGGTTTTATCAATTCTGCTGAAACCTCATAAAAGGGAAGCTTTTTTAACTTGACATCAGGATGTACAGGGAAATGAGAAGGGTGAATAGGACTATTTTGTTTGGCTTGTGTAGTTGGATACTGATGATGATAAACACCTGATGGATAAATTGGCCTCTGCTGAAATAAAATTTAATTCAAAATATATTTTTTATAGAATGGGTTGCTAAAATTGAAAAAGAAAAAAAAAATTTCAATTACTTCATAACTTCCCACACTAATTTGTGGTTGGCCTAGACAACTTGGAGTTGGATAGCCTCTACCATGTGGTTGTTGCATTGTTGTTTTCTCTGTTGTATCTTTTTCTCCTCTGTCAATTATTCTTTCTTCAGGAAGTGGGCTAGGCAAAACACTAACCTCTGAATTATTTTTTGCACCTTGAAAGCTTTCTCTAAAAAAAAACAAAAAAAATATGATTAATATCTAATTGTTCGAGTATAACATGTTTTAAAAATTATGATGTAATATTATACAATTCAATAAGTATGTAAGACTAAAATTGATTAATTTATTTGTGGTACTCCAAAACTTATACATACTGCATATATTTATAAAGATTTTTTATTTTCAATATAACTGGATAAGATCCTAACTGAAGTAATTCAATTGCTCTGTTTTGAAGTTCTGATTTGCGTCCACTTTTATCTCTGCCAGCAAAACCCAAAAGCATGTGAAGTTCACTAACTCGAAAACTCAGGATCATTGACTAAAACAAATGAAATTTACATCTTCTTAAAAATTACTTTAAAGCTTAGTTAATAAAATATTATTTATCTAAACAAGTTTAGCTTTCTTTCAATTTACACAGTCTTTTTTTTGGGGTGCAATGACAATTTTGAGTAGGAAAATATAAATGATTTCATGCATATATATATATATATATATATATAGTATATTGGAACTATGAAACCTAAATATTAAAATAATTTTTTTTTTTTTTTTGTTTGGGGTACCAGAATAAATAAGAGTATATTTACTGGAATGAAGGAAGCCTTAAACTCACTTGCCTTTAATAGAAGCCTTTAAGGTATAATATTCCATTGCCATTTGAAATTTTTAAAATCTAGTAACTAAAAGAATAATCTTAAGACAATCTTTAACGAGTTTTAACTTGTATAAGAAAAAGCTTAAATATACACCTCACTACTTTACTAAAACGGAATAATATACCTTGAGTTCGTTCTCATCTGCCATTTTCTGAGGTCACAACTCAAGTGTTTGTCACCTCTTCCTTCAAAATTCTCTTTAGCATTAAAAAAACACTGAGTCAAACCCCTATGCATAAGTATCATTTAATAAACACTAATTGTTATGCCAGCAAATAAACGAATACCTAAAATTAAAAAGTAATTTACATAATGTTTCTGCCTTTAAAAATTTCGAGCAATCGCCCTAAAAAACGTGAAATTTAAAATGACGGGTAATGTATAGAGCCAAAATAAAGCACAACTAAAACAGATTCAAATGTTTAAAACTATCTGAATAAAACCCGGACTCCATTAATCGTAGGCTAGAAATCGTGTCGTTAGCTTAACTCATGGCGCTCTGACAAAAATGCCTGCCCCTTAAACTTGACAAGGTGTTCTTGGCAATTTAAACAATATAATTTTTTATTTGGAATTGTAAGTCGATTTTTATAAATTATTAAATAAATAAGATAAAACTAAATACTAATTTATTTATTATCATTTGAAAAATAATGAAATAATTGACTACGATTAGTAGTAATCAAATTATATAAAATAAAAATGACTTCTAAAACTTTAGAGGGTAATAATTCTCTTGTATGCATTCATTATCCGGGTGTTGTTAAAAACATTTCTAACGTATTAGAAACATTAGGTGGAATTAGAACAATCTCGTCGGTGAGTATTTTTCTATATTAATTATAAATTAACATACATATATAAATGTACATTTTAATAAATATTTGTTTCAGACATATTCAGAAAAAAATAGACGTTTAGAACTTCGATGGAGACCACAGGATTCTTTTTGCAAACCAACCTACGGTTCAAGGAAGTCTGTTGTAGCTATAGTTTTAAAAATTAAATATAAAAAAAAAAAAAATAATGAAGGAAGAGTTTTATCATATCAATCAATTGGCTGTGTAACAGAGGAGTACAAATTTTCTAATCTTTGTGATTTTCAATTTTTACCAACTTCCAAAGATGAATGCATTTATGATAAAATAGTACCTTCAGGATTAGATTTAAATTGGTTAAATTCAGATGCTCCTTATTTTTTGCCCCCTCCAACATTTTCAAGATTTGATACAGTGCAAGTGAGTATATTTATGTTATTTGGAAAAGCTTTATTTTATAAAGCTAAAAAGGAAGATTAAATTTATGATATAATTCAAGCATTTGATCTATTTAATTGTTTTTTTCAGAGTTTTAATTTCAGCAAAAATTTAGGGGAAGATGATAAATCAAATGTAATTGGTCGGCTAACTCGTAAAAGATATGGTTGTACTAAATGTCTTACTTTTGATAATCCTGAAGTTCCTGAATTTCCTAAAAATATACCAGCTGGGGGCATATGTTCAGCTAGAATTGTTAGCAGTGAAACCTTGCAACTTTTAAAACAAGTAACTATTTTTATATATTTTTTATTTAAAAAGTAATTTAATTATTTATATAAAGATTTTAAGAAACAAGCCCTAAAATTTATTAAAATTAATATTTGTATATTAAAATTTTTTATTTATTTTTTTTGCCGTTACAGTTATTTCAAGAGAGACCTATTTATTCAAAGAGTGCAATTAGAAGTATCAGCAAAGTACCATTAATTCAACTAAAGTGTCTTCTTCCTTGTGTAGCTTATTACTTTATTAATGGTCCTTGGAGATCTCTTTGGGTCAGGTTTGGATATGATCCACGAAAAGATCCCAAGTCAAGAATATACCAAACTTTAGATTATAGAGTAAGAAGTCATTTAAGCAAAGATGAAGTTAAAAATAAAAGAAATAATATAGGAGCATCAGTATCGTACAAATTTTCAAATCAAGCGGGAAAAAATATTTCTGTTATATCTAGAAATCCAACAGAAGTTAATTTCAAAGAAAAACAATCAGATCAAATGGATCATATTTTCAGGCCAGAAATGGTACCTCCTTCTAGACAATGTTATTATCAGGTAAACATATTATTAAAAAAAACATGTAAAAGATAAAATTTTTTTTTTTCGTGGGATTCACTGCTTTTCTCATTTTTAGTATTGTGATATTCATGTTCCTGAAGTTCAAGCTATGTTAGAGAACTTGGAAAATGTTGATGAATCAACAGTTTGTCATGAGTATGATGGGTGGTTACCACCTGCAATGGCTGATACTTGTAGGGATATCATGAACAAATATGTTTCTGAAGAAGTAAGGAGACGAAATAAATTATCTAGCCAACCTAATAATGTTTTAATGATAGATAATCAAATTTCTTCCGAATCTGAATCTGAGTTTTTCGATTCAGAGTAGTCTAAATAACTTGAACTATTTTTCTTGTTCTTCTGTTTTTCTTTTTCTTTCTTTCTTTCTTTTTTTTTTTAAATAAAATACTACAAATTAATAGCAAAAAAAAGTATAATTCATTCAAAGATTAACATTGTTTCTTATTTCAAAAAAAAATATATATATATTGTCCTAAAAACCCTAAAATTAAATAAACTATACAAAAACTTGTCTTGATTCATAATTTTCTTTGTAAAATGCATAAAAAAAATAATGTACTTTCACTGTCATTAACAAATAGTCACATTTTGCACATTAAAATAAATAAATGTGCAATAAAATAACAATTACATTTGAGGTAATTCTTCAATAGGAGTGCTGAATTGAAAATCTTCAGGGAAAAGTTTTGTAGCATGTGGATACATTAATTTGTAAGATTGTCTTATTGTTACATCAGCAACTCCTGCTATATCACCTATTTCTTTTTGAACTCTCTTATCATCAGATGCTTGTGATGCCATATAAATAGCAGCAGCAGCAACTGAAATAGGAGAACGACCAGGAACTATATCTAATTCCACAGCTTTTCTAGCAATATGTGTTGCAGCCCTTTGAACCATATTAGGAAGACCCAAATTGGAACAAAATCTTGACATGAAATCTCCAGTAGTAATAAGATCCACGCTAGTTTCTAAGGCCTTCAAAATTAACTTGAAACATCGACCTATTTCTTTCTTACTAATTTTACTCACAGCACATATTTCCTAAAATAATGATTAGACATATTAAATAACACTTAATAATAAAAATAAATAAAAAATTTTTAATAATATTTTACCTTAAATGTTCTAGGAACTCCTTCTTGCCTGCATGCAATATACAAAGCAGCTGAAGCGATGGCATCATTGGCTCTACCCTTTAAGTTTTTACCATCGTGAACTTGTTTAAATAAGTTGTTTGCTCTATCAACAATTGTTTTAGGTAAATTTATTCTATCAGCCATAGCATTAATTTCTCTAAAAGCATTTATTAGAGCTCTGTCAGAACTACTCATAGTTCTTCTGTTTTGATATTTTGAAACTCCTAATCCATCGAATGAAGCATCACCCCTTCCAGGCCCTATCATTGTGCACAAATCAGATCCATTTAATAATGGATTTTCAGGACCACCCACACGAGATGGATCCGTTCCGGCTTTTTCATTACTAAAAGTTCTCCATTCAGACCCTACATCTATTACCCTAAAATATGAAACATATGTTTAAAACTTCAAAAGTTATAAAAAAAAAACAATATTAATTTTTTAAATGTATTTAAGTGTATAAAGTACTGACAGTATTTTAAAGAATAACAAACTAATTATAAAAATTTACCTATCTCCTACAACCAAGCCACATTCGGAGCATATTTGATCACCAGCTCTATAATCTTCTATAAGTGGAGCGTCTGGATGAGCATAACAGCAAACTTTATTCCCATCGCTCCTAAAATAAAAATAATAGTTGCAAAATTAAAAGAAAATAAATAATAAGCCCTTTTCCTTAAACTCAAGATATAGAATTAAAGAGTTCAATTATTAATTTCTCTTTAAAAAACTTAAAAACAAAATTAACACGTACCTTGACGCCATTTTGCTGTAAAACAACACAAACTTTAGTTTTTAATTGTAAAAAAATCTAAATATAAATAAATATTAATAATTAAAATATGCCTCCAGACTTTCATACATTTACATTTAAATCCAATAATTAATTTTAAATTGAAAATATGTAATTACTCTTTAAGGTATGTAAATATAAGAAATTATAACTAGTTTTACTCTATGATATGTTTGTATTACTGTACTTAATAAAAATAAATCTCATGTTTTTTAGTTGAATATTATAATAGTCTTGAGATATATTTATTATTGGTAAAATTTAAATTTTTTTTTTTTTTAGCATGAGTTCAGGATTACGCGGTAAAAATATTTCCGAAACAGCTCTTACTTGGTTGAAAAGTCTTCCTCGAATAAGTTTAAAAAACTTGAGAGAAGAACCAGGTCAAAATGTTAAATACGTAAGTTAAATTTATTTATAATAATAAAAGCTGCATGATGTGCTTTGAAACATTTATCGTTAAAAAATATAAATAATTTTTTTTTTAAATTATATTTTAAATTAACTTATAAAGTGTTTGTTATCTTTTTTACAGAAAAGAGCTAGAGGAAGATACGGTGGTAAAACTCACGGATGTATGCCGAAAAAAAACCCGCAAAGACAAATTTTTCCACGACCCGGTTGGGAAGGTGGGCAAACTCCATTTTATTTAAAATTTACCAAAGAACCATATTATAAAGGACATCAGTAAGTTTTTTTAAATTAAACAATTTTGATGAACACTCTTAAATGTAAAAATAATTTTTTAGTTTAAAGAGGCAATATCCTCCGTTATCATTGCTATATATACAAAAGCTCATTGATACTAACAGACTCGATACTTCTGGTCTTATCGATATATCATCTTTATGTAAGTCAGGTTTAGTAAAATTTCTTCCCGAAGAAAAGCATTATGGATTTCAGTTAACAGATGAAGTAAGTTTTATAAATTGATTTTTTAGTCAACATTTATATTTTTTTAATTTTACAATTGTAGTGAAATTTTTTTTACTTTTAGGGAATAGATAAATTTGCTGCAAAAATTGACATAGAAATTCAATATGCTCCAGAACATGTAATTGCTGCTATAGAACGATTGGGAGGTTCAGTAACTTTGGCATATTATGATTTTCACAGTCTCTTAGCTTTAAAAAATCCTTTGAAATTTTTTCAAAAAGGTGAAGTTTTTATTAAAATATTTTTTTGAAAAAAGTTTTTGGAAAGCATTGATGCATTTAATAAAATTGGTTTACAGGAGAACCCATTCCTAAAAGAATGATGCCGCCAGCAGATGCAATCGAAATGTATACTGATCCAAAGCAAAGAGGTTACCTAGCAGATCCTCAAGCAGTTGAATATGAAAGAGGTGTTTTAGCTCAAAAATATGGTTATGATTTAGTTATAAGAAAACCACCAATTAGAAAAGATCCTTTACAAATTTTTCTCGGTCTTCATCCAGGTTGGGTGGTTAATTTAAAAGATAAAACCATTTTAAAACCAAAAGACCCTGAAATCATTAAGTATTACAGTAGTTCTTAATTCAAATATAGGGCTTTCTTAAATTTGTTTAGTAATTACTAAAAACATTTATTATTATAATATATTTATACCAAGTGTGAAAAATTTAATAATTTTTCTAAGAAATTCAGACGAATAAGGTACAAATCTTGTTTCAAGTTATTAGCTAACGGTAACATTTAGAAAATACAGTATCACTCTTTTTAAAAATTCATTAATTTATTTTTCATACTTCTTTCCTATAGTTTTATTTTTATTTTTGTATTTTATTTAATACGTACAAAACTTAATTAAATCTAACCACATAACTTTTACTCCTGATAATAGTATAATAATTTATGGATAATTTAAAAAACCGTGTGTGTTTATTTACTCTATGCAAAATGTAAATTATTAACTGTGCATTTTAAAGCAGTTTAAAATATTTCGTTAATTTGTTGTTTATGATAAAATGGTGTCAGTTACATTAAAGCAACGACACAATTTTTAATATTGTATGAAACTTTTTAAATTTTATAGCTTTTTTTTTAAAAATTTTTTACGGACACAGTATTCATAATGTTGAGTCCAGAAATTTGGGATTTTCCAGTTCTTACTCCACAAATTCGTAACTCATATTGTAATTCTGACGAAGAGATATTTTCAAAAATCAAAAAGCAATTATTTAATCATCATGTAAGTATTGAGAATTAAATTATTTTAATTTTTATAAATTAGCTTTTTAAATCACGAACTTAAGTCATGAAATTTTTTTTTTAGATTTCAGTTACGTTACCAAACACATTAACAGCACCTAATGAATTAATTTATTCCCTTACGGAGGATTGTCAATACTACAGAATTAATGCTGTTCCAGTGAGTGAAATTTTTAACAAAAATTTTATAGATTTATTTATTGTAAAAGGTAGTTTAACACTTATAAGCATTAATACTTTATCTGATCAAGATGACAGGTTAGCTTTTATTTCAAGTGGAAAGTTAATCTTGACTTTGAGTAAAAAATCTTCTGAAGAAATCGGAATTGATAGCACCCTTAAAAATGTTACTAAAAACAAACATAATTTGTGTAAGTGTTTTGTTAATAGATGTACTAATTTTTCTTTTAATATTTCATTACATACACATATATCTATTTATTACATTTAAAATATTTATATAAATAAATAAATACAATGCTTTTTTCTAAATTTTTTTCAGTCGTGCTCGATTGTATTTTATTATCAAAAAATAAAAAAAAATGTGAAGAAATAAGTAAAAAATTAAAAAATATGAATCTTTATTTTGATATAATATTATCATGGGAGCCTGAAGGTATGTATTTTTATAAAAACGTTAAGTATTGGATAAATTTAATTGAAAAATTTATTTCACAGATTAACTTTTATTTCAGATATTAAAACATGCCCATCATCGATAGCTCTTTATTTCTGCAAGAAGGGGTATAAAGTTACAACATGCAATATTGATGTTAAAAAAAAACTCAATTATAATGTTCAAGTTCCTATTTATGATGAAGAAACTGATCCGGATAGTTTACTTGAATGGCTTGGTGCTTTTAATTTGCAATGTAACATGTATGTACTATTTTGCTTAAATTAAAAAAAAAAAAACAACTTTACTTATGTAAAGTATTTATAAAAATAAATTTTAATTTAGGTCTGACAACACCTACATATCAACATTTCACTGCTCTGAAAAGTCTGAATCTTTAGGTCAAGTTTTAAATATAAATTTTACAGGATTCTTTACTGAATCGAAAATAAAAAAATTTATGCTGAATTTAAGGTAAGTTTTTTTTATAATTTTTCTATCTAAACATGAACTAATTAACCTAATTTAAAGTAAAGTACTTTAGTTGCATAACCCAAAAAAAAAGTATTGTTTTAATTTTTTTGTTATAGAAAAATAGTCGATGAAAAAATTTTTAACTGGATCGGATTAGTTATAAATGGATTTACTGGAAGTTTATTAAGCCATAAAAATAACCTTACATTTACATTAGTTGAAGACCATTATCATGCTTTTATTTTTAAATCAGATAAACCCACATTAACTCAATTTTTTTCTGTTATGGAAAATTAATAACAAAATTCGAATATATATTTTTTTAAAAATAATATAATTTCAATTATGAAATTTGAAAATAATTTTTTATAAAAAGTATCTTTCAGTTTTTTTTTTGGCACATAATATTTACCTTAAAAACTTAATTTACTAATTTAAAATAATTTTATTGAAAATAGGAAAATAATAACAACCCAAAAAATGAATAGACAATGGTTTATTGGAAAATATTTAAGTTTATTTTTTTCTTCTACTTTTATCATTTGGATTTCTTTTCATCCAATGTTTCATTTCTATATGTGGTCTTATTCCCAGCATGGCAGATTTAGATGTTACATCTCTCATAACAAATGGAGAATATCCTGCCACATAATCATCGTTTAGAGGATTATTTTTTGTTCTAGAAAGACGACTCGGTTTTTGCTGAGGCATAGGTTGATCCTCACAAATTATAGGATTATTACTGTGTTTACCACCTTTAAAATGTGGCATTGAATACTGAAATTATTATTTTTGAGTTTATTTATCAGTATAAAAAAAATCTTTAAAAATCTTTTAATTTTTTTTTATAATATACATTTTTAAAATAATTACCCTTTTTCCTCTAGCTGTCAATGGTCTTCTAAAATTAATATGTAAATGTTGGGTTCCATCAGCATTTAGTGAGACTCCAACTTTTTTAAGCGTTTTATTACCACAATTAGGACAAAATACTTTTGTCATTATACTTGTGGTTTTAAAACACCCATAGCATCGTAAAATAAATGTTCTTAATTGTTTAATTAATTTTCCATCGAGGGAAATTACATTAAGACCTATTTGTTTTAATACATTCTGAAATCTCAAAACAAAATTAAATTAATGAAACATTAAAGCAGTTTTCATTCAATATAAAAATGATAAAATTTTTTTAATCACCTGCATTGCAAAATCTGTTGTCAAGCAAGCTACTACCACATTTTCTAAGCTTTCATCGACTTCATCTGCAATTTTTGATTTAGCTTCTTTAAAATTCTCAGGTGTAATCCAATCACTATCATCATCTTCATCATCATCATCATCATTCTCATCATTATCATCATCATCATATTCATATTTTTCATTATTTTCTAAAACTGGACAATTAACTTGGTTGTCATTTTCTTTTAAATTTCTAAGATTTTTTTCATCATTTTTTTCTGCATCATCATCAAAACTAAAATTTTTTATGCTTTTAACAATATCATCTTTTTCTGAAGTAATATTGCTTTCATTTTTACTGTCACAATTTGATAAATCTTCTAATGCATCAACAAATTCTTCTCCAGATTCATATTCTGAGCTTTCCGAATTAATGATACTGGGTGATTCTGATTTGGATAATAAATTCTACAAACAGTTAATTTTAATAATTACTAATTGCAATAATTTTTAAAACACAGATTATTTCAAATTTTTTTTTTTTTTTAGCCCTAATTTATTATTATTATAAAATTAATAAATGCCTTCAATTACCTTTTTAGGTAAATGAAATCCGACGACATTTTTTAAATCTTCCGGTATTTTAGAAAATGGTTCAATTGTTGTTTTATAAAGGGGGGCATCATTTAAATGTTCAGTTCCATTTTTTTCCTTTTCAAGCTGATAAGTAAGTGCTATAATACTTACATCAGTGGCAGAAAGGCTAGGGAAATCCCCAGTTTTTTTTGAAAATTCATTGACTATTGATTAATAAATAAAACATTTTAATTTCACAAAAAATTTAAATAAAGTAAATATAAGTTAAAAATAAATTATTAATAAATAAATACCAAATTTAATGCTGTCAGCTGTACTATCTTTCACTTGTAAATCATAAGGCAAAACAATTAATCTCCTCAATTGCCTTTTAGATTTAATTTCATTAACAACTTCAGGAACAGTTATTATATTTTCTCCTATTTCCTGAAATTTAAAAAAGGGTAAAGCATTATATTTTATTCAAACAAAAATATTATTTTTTACAAGTACCTAAATAATTTAAATTTTTTTTATTTTTTTGAAAATAAAACAATACCTGTAAAGGTGCATTGTTTAGGAATGCACTTGTATCGACTATTAAATACTGGATTTTTTTTCTGTAAGACCCCATTCTTACTATTTTTCCTTAAAAAAAAAAAAAAAAGTTACAAAAAATATTTTGCGTTAATTGCAAAAATAGTTTTAAGTATGAATGTGTGTCAAAAAATAAATTGATAATTCAAATGATATGAGTAACCCATGTGGAAATCATTTACAATAATACCATAGAGTGCAAAGTACAGTTAATAATTTTTTAATGTTCAATTGGTATTTTACTCAAATTCTCTATTTTACCTAAATACCAAATAAAAATATTTCGAATAAAATTAAATCTAAATGTATTATTTAAAAAATTCAATAAAATAATATTTTTTTAAAATTTTTATTATTAAAATTTAATTTGCTGCATTATAAAGTGAAAATAGACATTTAAACAATTTGACAACATTTACATAGAAAGTTTGTTTTCATTTTCTAAGATTGTAAACGTCACTTAGTATGTTTTCTCTAATAATTTATATTAATTTTTATAAGTGATGATATATAATTCTTAAGTTAATGTTTAATTAAAATCATAAAAATCTAAATAAAAAAAAAACCGTTTTTGATAAGCACTAATCCGGAAGAAAAAACGGTTTTTAAATAAGCAGTGGCAATGTGACGTCACGAGTTTAATTTAGAATTTTTTTTTTGTATTTTACTATGGATTTATACAGCTGTAATTATTAAAAGGGGGGTTGGTTACAAGTTTTGAAAATGTGGATAATTTTAAAGAATGAACTTAGATGTTGATAGCCTGGTAAGTAAGTTTGTTTTTAATTAAAAATTTACCTGTAATTTTAATATCCTAAATTTTTTCCAGAGCATTAATTATATGACTAATTACATAACTGATATTACTTTACAAAGAATTCATTTAAGTTTTTAAAATATTGTTACTGTTTTATTAAAATAACATAATATTGTATAAATTTATAATTATTTTTTACTCAAGAATAGTTAGTATTTATTTATTACTTAGGAATTATTTTTTAGTTTAAAATTTCATAAACTTAAAATTATCCTTATTAAATTTTTTAATTATGTTTTGATATTCAGATTTTAATTAATTATCATTTTTATAAAGATTATTTTAAAAATAATTGTTTTTGTTTTAAATAATATAAAGCTATTAAATTTTATTTTGCATTTTTAGCAACCAACTTGGCGGCTCTGGGGTGAAGAAAAAGAAGAAGGAGTTATTTATACTGTTTATCTGAAGAAAGTTCGCTATCATAGACCTACCAAAAGTGTTTCTTCAGTAAGTTTAATTATTTTCAAACGTCTAATTTTTTTTAAAAAAATTTTTACAAAATACTAAATTTTTAACCTAAATAATGTATTCATTGAATGTAAAATTGTCATAAGGATATTTTGAATGTTTACAGTAGGAAATTTATTTCAGGATTCAGAAGATGAAATTTCACATCTTGAATGGGAAACAGTACGTATTAGATTTGTAAAAGCTGCTACATTGGAAAAGTTAGTTGAAAATCTTGTTAGTGATGATGGTGAACTTGAAAGTACTTATATCAATGTTTTTCTTGCAACATATCGCTCTTTTGCTACGCCAAAACAACTCCTTCAGCTCTTACTTCAAAGATTCACACAATTTGTTGACAAAGATCAAGAAGATTTAATATATCAACAACATAAAAAGTAATTTTACTGTGTGTTAATATTTTAATGTAATTTTTAATTATAGGTTTATCAAACTGTTATCGGTTTGTACTTTAAAGAATTCTTTTTATGTGTTGTTCTTACAAAATATTTATTGCAGGGCATTAATGCTAGCACTTCGAGTATGGTTAGATTCTTATCCTGAAGATTTTAGAGAGCCTTTAGTGCACTCAAATCTTCATGAATTAATTAATTTCACTCGACAATATTTGCCAGGTTCAGAATTAGAAGCAAAAGTTAAACACAAATTAGATCGATTTGTTCGTGATGATCAGTATGTGGGTAAGATATTTGCAGTAATAAAGTTTCTATACTTTTTTTAAATTTTTAAAAAGTTACAATGTTACATCAATTATAAATATATTAAAAATAACAATGCTTAGCTTAATTTTTTTATTACTAAACTTGTGCTTTTATTTTATTTTATGTTTCAGATTCTGGATATTTATACCCTAATAATTTTGTAATTCATGCTAATGGAGCTTCCACAAGTCAGGCTGCGGCATACAAATTTCCTGATGTACCAGAAAAACATTTTGCAGAACAGCTTACCAGAATGGACATGGTATAATAATTCCTTACAACGGTTTTTTTTAATAAAA